TGCAATTTTCTCCAGGCACGGTTGCGTTGTTTTGGATTTTCAATTAATTTGAAATGAGTGCAAAGCAAAATTTGACCTATATAACAGGCAGCAGCTACTTTTAAAATGCTCTTTTGAAATAGTGTTGTGCAGTCGTGTGATTTGAAGGTATGTTTCTCTGTTTTCCATTCTATTTAAAATTCTTCCTTTGGTCGTTTTTCGCAAAATTTGCATCATGTTAAAGATCTTTAACAATTTTTAGATAAATAATTTTCGCAAAATGCGGATTTTTTTTTGTTCGCGTCTATTTGACGCTGCTTAAGAGAGAATTTTGGGCTTGCTTTAATTGGTGTGTTTATATCACATGACTGAAGATGTGGTGGATGTGTGTTGCATTGTGTTTTTGTTTTAATTCAGATTAAATTATTTAAAAATGTTGTCTGATCTTTTATAGTTTTTGTCTCGATTAGTAAAATTTAATATTTTATTATTAGGAAGTATTCGTAGTTTTTATTAAGCAATAAGTTTCAATTAAGGTTAGGTTTTCAAAATATTGCAAAATTTTTTTTAGTTAAATATTTCTGTTTTTTTAATGAATTCTGTTCATGACTTAATAATTGAAACGCCCTTTTTAAATAGAAACGAAACTGAAAAAAAATATTTAATGATAAGAGGCAGGGTAAGCATTATTCACGAACTTTTTAAATATCTTGGTACGAAACCTATAAGTGGCTATGCGGAAGTATTGACTAAGATTATTCTGTTGGCATTGTATTCTATTAGGCCGCGTCAAAAACAATTGGAGTTCAGGGGGTGGGTATTCCGATTGCTCTGATATTTTATTTGTTTTATATGTGTATATATTTTTATCCATCCATATAAATATATTTTTAAGTTACAGATGGGTTACAGTGAAAATGATTACTTTTTATTTTTGGTTGTTTCATTGTTAGTCTAGAATGGGGTTTTTGGGAAGCCACCAGGTCTAGTAATAACATAACATAAGTGGTTCTGCACTAATGCAAGAATTTTAAGAAATCATACATTTTGAATATTAGAGCTTTACGGAAGATAGTTTCACGGAGTTTAGGATTTCGTATGTTTTTTTTAAACATCCCTTTGTATATTTAAAATAAGTTATTGTATCTTTTGATACCTTAATATTTTTAAAAAATACAATTGTACATACCTACATAAAATATTTATAAAAAAAAATCTACTTACTGATATATTACACTTTTGAATTATAAAACAGCAACACTTTCATCTGCATATAAATTCTAACTGACCTTCAGGAATCACATGCATCTATAATGTCGTAAACAGAGGTTTTTGCTTATTTAAAATGATTAATGCGCCATCCGTTGCATAAAATTTAAATCAAAAACAGATTCACGGAGGATAGAATCAATTTTTGTAACACCCACATAAATGGTTATAAAAATTATTTCTTTTAATTTTTAATAATATTTTATATTTGATTCGATTGCTTTGGATGTGTTTAATTTACTTAGTGAACTGATATTTTTAGTATACTTTTACTACCTCAGATATTTGAAAACATATAGGTTAACCTAGAAAGAGTAACAGTCATGGAGGATAGGTGTTAGACTTTTAAAACACTGTAAAAAATAATTTATTGCGGTTAAAAATCTGGAACCTGAGCTGTAATATCTACACACATGTCCAAAAGTTTGGAATACTTACAAATAATATATCTACGCCTATGGTAGTTTAAAAAAACTGTTGTTAATATTTACTCTATTTTCTCTGTCTTTGAGGTTTATTTATTATTGGTCGGAGTCGTTATAAAATGGTATTTACCTATATAAAAAAATATATACAATAAAAAAAGAAATATTGCAATATTCCAAATTTTTGGACATATGTGTACTTAAAATTATGAAAGATCAAAACACAATAAAAGTGTAAGTCAAACTCATTTAGTTTTATTAAATATCACGGGGGACATTTCGTGAGATTCACCCAGGTATATATAAGTTTTAAAAAACGAATTTATGTTTTCGTAATTTGGGTTAAGATTGCTTTGAAATTTTCTTTGATTTGTTTTTTTTAGAATATTTTTATTTATTTATACACCCACGAGCCGCCACTGCACCTCTGTACCTCTACCTCACTACGTCCTGGTGATAGATCATTTAATTTTTATAGTGTTGAAATTAACCAAGCAAATATAACTTTATTATCGTCCGTTTTTATTAAATGTTTTTATATTTTGTTCTTCTTCCTTGAAGTTAAGGGCTTCTTGTGCTATGCTTTTATTTTCGAACTAAAATTGCCTTGAGAAATGTTGAAAAACAGTTATATTGGCATTGTCACGAAGTTAAATCGGTTATAGGAAGTATCTTTATCTATCTTCAAACGTGAGCTACACCTTACATTTCTTTAGTACCTGACTGGAAAATTATATCTTTAGACGTATATAGTCGTTATTTATTAAGCTAATTTAGTTACCTCGGCAAAAGATGCTCTAGCGGAATTCTCCGAAGAAGGTCAACGGTTTTGCAACGAATTGCGTTATGAGACATGAATTGTAATCAATCGGTTTTTTTTAGGAGTAATCAATTTTTATTAAGCTGTATTAAATGTATACATTACCGAATTTAAATAATACTGACGAACAGTTTGGTTCACTTAAAGTGGATCCAATAACTGAAACTGAAATTTTAAATGCAGTAAAAAAGCTAATCAATAAGTTTACGTACCAGTAAAATTCCCAAAATTTGGAAAACCTCAAAAATTGTTCCGGTCTTCAAATCCGGAACATTGTTTACACAGTTTGCCAGTAATGTGCTTGATAATCATGGACACGTGGATGTAATCTATACAGATTTCCAGAAAGCCTTTTACCAAATAGATCATAATAGACTTCGGATTTTCTGACCATTTAATATTTTTTTTCATTTCTCATTTAACAGATAGAACGCTGTATGTTTCTTACAATGAGTTTTGTTCTAAACCGACTCCAACATCGGGTGTTCCACAAGGATCCAATCTAGGACCACTACTTTTTCTTATCTTCATCAACGACCTACCAGACATTTAAACAGTTTACAATTTACTATTTGCTGATGATCTGAAACTCTACTTAGAAATCAAAACTATTGATGATTGCATTAGGCTGCAAAATAATTTTAATAGTCTATATAATTAGTGTATCAAAAATAACCTTCATTTAAACATCAATAAATGCAAGAGTATGATATATACAAAGAAAAAGCATAGTATATTGTATAATTATGAAATCAACAATAGGCGTTTGGAACAAGTTACAGAATTTAAAGATCTGGGAGTTAGGTTTGATACAAAGCTGAATTTTATAATACCAAAGAATTTATAAATGAAAGCTCATTAAAAATGCTGTATTTTTCCTTAATAAGGTCAAAGATGGAATATGCTTCTATAATCTGGTATCCAATCTATCTAGTCCATATAACAAGCATTGAAACTGTACAACGCAAATTTTTAAAGCTCTTACATCTTAGAATATATGGTGAATATCCAACTCAGGGATTTGACCATGATTTGCTACTATCGACATTTGAATGTAAATCTCTAGAAAATAGAAGGGTTATTTCACCAATTTCAATTTTGTTTAGGTTGCTTAATTTTCAAATTAGTTGTAGTGATTTGCTTTCTCAAATTAATTTTTCGGTGCCAAGATTGACTAGCAGGGACTTAAGTAGCCTTTATTTGTAATGTGCAGTAACTTTTATAAATTTTGTGAATCTTGTGATATAAACTTTAATACGCTTATAAGCTATATAATAAATTCTGTTAATCTTGTGATATAAACTTTAATACGCTTATAAGCTATATAGGTATAGCTATATAATTACATATGTTAATAAGCATCTTTAAATGTTGCAAACATAATCTGTTGTTTAGGTTATTTATAAATTTTTTAAACTTTGAATACTATATACACTTATTTAAATCCCTCCTGCAATGGTTTAAACTGTTGGGCAATACACTGTTCAAAATTTCATGACCATTTTAACACCAAATTAACACCATACATGGTCTATATCGATACAAACCAAAATGGTGTTAAATAAGGTTCGTTGGTCCGGTGTAAATTCAAATACTAAAACAGTGTTAATTTAACTTTCACACAGTATTAAAATAAATTTTACCTGGTGTAAATTGAACTCCTTTTCAGTGTAAAATATTATGTGTTTGAAGTCAAATTAAATCATACTACGCAGAAAAAAGGAAAAAAAAAAAGGAAACAGGAAGTTTCTTGACGCATTACTAGTATATTACCAGTGGTATTATTTCAGAAAATGAAACCTTCAACTCGCTAGAGATAATGTTTTTAGTGCGTTCCACTAACTTAAAATACTTCAAGTATTGAGAGCTGTTTCCACCTATTTAGGGCTCTTTAGTATCGAACAACTTGTAGTGTCACACCAAAGCAAAGGACTACCTGAGCTTATATATTCTTCAACAGAGGCGAGATTTAAGAACATCACGTGATCCACACCGCCTTTGCCGCGATCGGTACCCACTATGCAACCGGGAATGCACGGCAAATTGTTTTAATCATTTTAACAGAGTACTTTAGGTTGAAGTAACTCTTATTTTACAAACAACATATTAAGTAAAGTGAACCATACAGCGGGTTGGTTTCACTAAAGTTTTCTGGGTTAATTTAACCAATTTAAAAAAAAATAACTATCTGGTTTAGTACCGTCAGACTAATCTTTGTTTATATTAACGTTCCCACAGTTGATAAAAATAAAAAAAATACAAAAATAAATACTTATGGGTCAACTAAATTAATATAGTTAAATAAACTATTCCTTTTTTTCTGTGTAGGTACACTTCTTAAATATTTTTAGATTAACACCGTTTTGGTGTCTGCTGTATATAACATTTTCAACCATAATTCATGGTGTTGGATTTTGACACCATTTTAAGATTACTCTTTGCACCACAGATATTTTAAACAGTGTAAATACATTATTATTATTATTATAAATAATTTCTTGTTTCAGCAGGCTGTGTCGAGTAGGATCCCGCAGTTCAGCTCCAGGATACCCCAGATAGCCCAGACAGCCCCCGCAGCCCCGGCAGCCCAGAAGCCGGCCGAAATAACCTCGAAACATTTGGGATGTCGCGTGAAGGTGGGCGATAAGCAGGGCGTGTTGCGGTTCGTGGGCGCGGTCAATTTCGCGAAAGGCACTTGGTGCGGCGTGGAACTGAACGGCGAGATCGGCAAAAATGACGGGAGCGTCAACGGAGTGCGGTACTTCGAGTGCGCGCCGCGGTGCGGCTTGATGGCACCACTGTGCAAGACCGCCTTGCTGGATGCCTGCGAAAAATTGGACGAAGATTCCGGACCGTATTCCATGCTGTTTTTGCAGTCGCATAATAAAGCCAAGACTGAGATAAACTTTACGCAGGAAAATAATTTAAATGAAACGTTTGATAAGGGCGTGGATGATCTTAACGAAACGTTTTTTATTGGAGGATCCGATGATTTAAACCAAACAGTAGTGCTTAGTAAAACGGTAGTGGGTAATAACGATACTTACCAACTAAAAAATAGCGAGGCAGAAAACCATTTGAAAAGGAAAACCTTTAACTTGGACATTAAGCAGAAAAATAGCGATAATCAAAATACATTTGTGGTTAATAATACTTTTGATGTAAGTAAAGCGGCGAGCTTGGAAAAAACTTTTGTAAATAGATCCTTCGAGAATTTGCCCAACGAAGCCAAGCGTCGCAAAATTAACAATCAAAAGAATTCTGACAATATTACACTAGACCAACCAACGGATACAACATACTCCTCTCCGTCATCGTTGGATTTGGTAAATCACTCTACACCTGCGAAAGTCGAACCACTTAAATTTGATCTACGTAAAGTGAGAATAAGTGGTATTACTTTAGACGCCAACAACACTGAAGATGATAAAAGTAAACGGGATTCCCTGGACTTTGAGGAATCCCTAGGAATTCTCACGCCAGATCAGATGGTGGAAGACTACATCAATCACCTCAAACTTGGTTTTGAAGCACAACAAGAAAAAGATAAAACCCTGGAACACGATAAAACTCCAAGCCCGGGCATATTAGAAGAGACACTAATAAACAACGCCACAAGACTAAGCCCCCAAGACTTTAGCTTTGGCATATTGGAAGAAACGCTGATAAACAACGCCACTAGACGCGAAAGTTCTGGTAAATACGTAAACAAACTATATTCCAATGAAACGGAAAACGATAAAACTCTAAGCCCCAAAGACTTTAGCTTTGGCATATTGGAAGAAACCCTGATAAACAACGCCACTAGACGCGAAAGTTCTGGTAAATACATGAACAAACTCAATGAGTCGTTTTTGAAATTTAAGCTGCCAAACGAATGCAAGGAACCTGATATATCTAGTCCCAATTTGGTCGATGCAAGTGTGACTGAATACAGTTTGGGGATTTTAGATGAGCATATGCTATCGAACATGTCTGCTGCTGCGGATAACATGAATCTAGCGTTGCCCCTCGAAAACACCACGGCTTCCAAAGACTACAGGCTGAGTAGAATCGAGCAAACCCCTTCGCCGGAAGATTTACCTCTAGATCCAACCCCTGTGGTAACAGTACAAGAAGAGTTATTGGGTAGTAAAGAGGATGCAAAGAGTAAGCCCTTGAATAGCTTTATAACGAGTATCACGAGCATCACTAGCTTGGATACTGGATATCAGGGTGATGGGGAGATGTCGAGGCCGGCCAGTAGAGGCGCTGATAATTCTCCGATGACGCGACGACCTCTGCCAAAACCTCAAAATCATAGACAGGACCCAATGACAGATTCCGATTTTTACACGGAAAGCGACGCAGACAATCACGAGGATCACCATTTGAAGGGCGATAGAAAGGCGCAAGTTATAGATGGAACTCTTTATGGGGTGGATGCGCAAGCTGCAGCGGACATATATGCGAATAATCGCGAGAACATGGATTCAAGCGGCATTTTTACCGATGCGGAGATCAACACGAGAGCTGAAGAGTTGAATGAAACGTTCGATGTCTCGCCCAGCGATACTTCGATTAAAACCGTATCGGAGAACAGCCAAAAGAAACAGGAGAACGTGCCGAAAGTGGCCACCACGCCGAAGCAAATTTTGGCCAAGAGAGCGTCCTCGACTCCCACGTCAACTCCGAGCCTTCAATCGCCGAAGAGCGCCGCCAAAGACAACTCGTTTTTGAAGAAACACAAGATGCCAAAACGCGACGTCCCCTCGAAAATCAAGACCATGCTAGTGCCAAATCAATCGCCGGTGCCCAGCGAGAGGAAGACCGTCAAGAAGGCGGGAAAATGGGACGCGGTCATGGACAAAATTTCGAAAAACGAACAGAACAAAAACAACCTAAAGGACGTCAAGTCGAAAGTTTTTAACGCAAGTTCGATGCAAAACGAGAATAACAAAAGTGCCGAGAAGAATTTGAGGCAGACTCCCAATTCCAAAACACCGAATTCAAAATTGTAAGTAAATTATTTTAGTTTGAAGACGCTTCCTTCTTTATTTTTATTTTATTTTTTAAAATATTATTTTAGGACCTATGTTAAATCAAACATTTTAACTGTGAAACATATTTCGAATAATAATGTGATTGATAACTATAAAAAGCTACAAACTAATCTAACTGGAACTATTAAGTTGTAAGTAATGTTACGCTCAATACCAGAATTCGGGTATTGCAAAAAATGCTCAAAACTAGTATCAAGCATTTAAAAATACAATATTTCCTAGAATATAATATACATATATTAATTTTTTCCTATATTAAGTTTTTCCTGGGCAAAAAACTGATATACAACTTTGGAAACGGAAACAAGACAAAAACGGAACAAATTATATGTATAGATGACCCCTTATTTTTTTATTGTCAAAAATATTCTTCTTTTATTAGGTTAAACAATAAATAAAAAAAACGCAAAAAATATTTTATAAAAGTGGAGATAATTTTAATAATTGAAAGGTGTGGACGCGTCCGGACAAAAAAAGATTTATCTTGTCCGGTCCACAATTTTGATGCAAAAATAATATATAATAAATTACCTACAAATTTTTTTATAAAAACAGTTTTGTTTATTATTATTATTATTATTATTATTTGGGACACCGTGTATTATAATAGGAATAGGAAATATTGTATTTTGTAGCGTTCGTTTAATTTCACATTTTATTTATAATTTTAGGCAAAGTAGGACATATAAAACAATTGAAAATAATCGGCCTACAGTTGCTTTGTCGTAAGTCCTATTCGTATAAATATACAGGGGGATTTATTATCATTGCGAACCCATTTGGGATGAGATTCTTTGAATAAAAAAACTAAAAAAATATCTTATTTTACGTACCTATTGGGATTATAAAAAATGTAAATTAAAAATAGAATTATTATTTTTAGGGTTTTTTTTCAGATATTATAGAAAATCAAATATTTTTTATTTAAAAGGAATCTCATCCTTAATTTTTTGGTATTATTAAGGAATCACCCTGTATAACCTAATTATACATTTAAACTAAATTAAAGTACATAAGTAAAAAGTATATAAAATTTTAGGAGGGACATTAAACCTAAAACTATTGTGCCAAAAATAGTAAATAACAAGAAAAAGACTGACATTGAAAATTTAAATTTGTGAGTATTTTTTGTTTATTCACATTCATTAAATCATTTAAACTTCATCGTCTTTTTTGGCATGTTCATTTTTGTATACAGGGTGAGTCATTTAACTTGATACCTTGAAATATCTCAGTTAGTATGTATTTTGTAAAAAAATGTTTAAAATAAAAATTAAATGATTCGAGGGGGAAATCAATCAGTACTAAAATTTTTCCTCATACTCTCCTCCTTATAGGGGGATCAGGGGGATCGGTTGAACACTCCCGTTTCTAGTAAACTGCTTGACTGTACGGTGAAATGAAGTACGTAATCGAATTTTATCCGGAAAACGCTGAGCGTAGATATTAACATTATCATCAAGATTTCTGCCTGCTTCTCTATAAATCCAAATCCAAATTTCTATTTTTTCTTCTACTGTTAAAAAACTCATTATGAATAACTGCTTAACGAAAGGAGGTCTTTTTTTTGCAAATTAATCTTCGAACTTAATTGATTAAATAATGCTAAACAAAAATAGTTTCTTTTTACCTCAATAATAATTATTATTTATAACTAAATAATATTTGTACCATTTTTATACTTCAATTAGGATTAAATTAATTCATTGACAACATAATGTTTTTTTACCTTAAATGAGGTATTTTTATTAAAAATACTACAATAATCCTTTAAATTAAAGGATTTAATGCTGGCAGGTAAAAAGTGACCATGGTGCGCAATTGATAATTATCACCAAATGAAATAATGTATAAAACTTAAACCAAAGGAAACTTAAATATTAGTTGAAAAATCGTGGGTACTTAAAAAAATCAGATTTAATTTAATAAGATAATTATTACCAAAAAAGTGATATTTTTATAGAAAAATTATTCAAGAATCATACAGAAGAAAAATCGAACAAAATTGATATTTTTTCATTACAGCGCCATCTGTTACAAATATGAAAAAATGTTTTAGACAAAATCTACCTATTTTTAGTCGAATGATCCGAATCTGCAATAAAAAATAGGGTGTTCCATTGGAAATTTTAGTTACCCCCTGTTCCCCTATAAGGAGGAGAGTATGAGGACCAATTTTAGTACTGATTGATTTCCCCCCTCCAATCATTTAATTTTTATTATAAACATTTTTTCGTAAAATGCACACTAACTGAGATATTTCAAAGTTTCAAGTTAAATGCATCACCCTGTATAATAGGACAAACGTTAAGCTTTATTATGCATTGTGTACTTATGTATGTTCACTTTTAACTTTAAAGTAACTCATGTGCATCGATGTGGCCCCACTTACTTACGTAGGGGAAAATTCATAATAATAAAAGTAAAAGAAATACCTACCGCAGAAAAGAGGAATAAGTGTATCGTGTTTACAAATCAGAAAATTAATAGGCTTCGAGTTGGGCAATGTGCAAAACATGTATTAGGTAAAGCAATTTTATAAATTTTATAGGTGATAACTTATAAATAATATTCGTTTTATAGTAAATACAAAAGTTAAGTTAAGTTTTCACAAATGGAATTTATTGTTATAAAATATATTCGGATTAAAAAAGCGTTCCATTAAACATGTTTTCAATTTTTAAATTAAGTTAGCGATCGCGTGTAATCATTCGTCATGAAATTAATTAACGTATAGAGATAATTTATAATGGTCACGAATAAGAAAAGAAAGTTGTAAAAGCTACGAAGCTGTCATTTGATTATAGAACTCTTCTACTAAAAATATGGGACGCAGTCACTCATGTGAAAAAATCCAAGATAAGGATTATTATTGTGGAAAATATAAATACCCATTTATTATATTATAATAAACATGTTAAAGATTTTAATAGGCTGTCAGGATTAATTTTCATGGTTTAAAAGAGTTATTATGGATGGATAATTGTTTAGTTTTATTGCAATAAGAATTTAATTTTAGGGAACGGTAAATTTAATTACTATTTGCTGGATATTCATTGTATACCTACAATTTCTGTGAGAATTTATAATAACTAAGAAATTAATGTCTTATTCGTACGAAGAGAAGATAATTTAATATAAAAGGCCAATAACACTAGTTTACAGCCATTTTGCCCACCATGTCTCACTATGATTTTCTTGAGTAGTTTGGCTCACTAAATCGCGAAAATCACACTTAAAATTTTTTCATGGAAGCGTTTTCGAGATATGAATTTTCAATTGTTTTTTTTTAATTTACTGAGATGTTTTTACGTTTTAGAGTATACTTCGAGTTCTAATTGATCAATTTGACCAAACAAGCACTTAAATCAAAGGTATTTGAGCCCTCTACAACTTTCTCTTGTATAGTTTTGGTATCGGCTCAGTAGTTAGATACTGGCGATTTTATGAAGTTGAAAAAGTCCTTTTCTTTTACAAAAATCGAGGTCGAAAATTTAAATACCTTTCTGGGAAAGATAGAAATCGAAAAGATAAGTCCAGTTTGATTTATTTTACGTAAGGAAAAAAATAAGCTGCTGTTGATAAAAATTCATGGATAAATGGCGAAGTTATGAATTTTTCAGTGGAAGAGCAAAATTCAGTTTTTCGAAAATTTTTACGTTTTTTCTTCATTTTGTTGAATTATATAAAATTTAATATTGAACATTGATTTTTATTTTAAACATTAAATATTGAAATTAAATTATATATTGAATATTGAACAATAAATATTGAACATTGAAGATATTGAAAGTTTTATTTTGTTTTAATAAGCATAGGTTTAAAAAATTCTGGCTCCTTCTTTGTTTTTTGTTGCTTTCGTAATCCATTTCTCGTATGAGGGACCAAATGTAATCACCCATCATGGCTGCATCCCAGAAGCCGTGATACCGCCGCTTCGTAGCCTTCATTTGCTGGTGAAAACGTTCTCCGTGCTCATCACTTACGTCACCCAGATTGTCCGGGTTATTTACGCACTCGAACTCTCTATTTCTTTTATTCATTTTACACTTTTTATTAACTAAATAAAACCATGATAAAAAACCTTGTTGAAATATCTTAAAATAGCAGTAAAATGTCACTATGCCAACACGAGAAACAAAAGAATTCACGTTTGTGGAGTCATGTCAAATTTAAATTTTGAATAATGTTTTCGGTGAATAAAATACGTAAAAAACTCATAAAAATCCAATCATGTACTTTAGTTAGGTTTTCATTAAAGAATAAACATATTACAAAATAAAAGAACAAAATAAAATAAAAATCGTCAAAAAGCTGAATTTTGGTCTTCCACTAAAAAATTTATAACTTCGCCATTTTTTCGTGTATTTTTATCAACATTAGCTTGTTTTTTGTAAAAATGTCAGCTTCACGAAAAAATTCAAACTGGAGTTATCTGTTTGATTTAAACCCTTCCCAGTACGATATGTAAATTTTCGACCTCAATTTTTGCCATAAAAACGAATTTTTTAAGTTATTAAAATCGCTGGCGTTAAAACACTTATCCGATATCAAAAGTATGTAAAAGAAAGTTAGAGGGCTCAAATACCTTCAATTTAAGGGTTTGTTTGACCAAATCGATTAATTAGATTTCAAGCTATACTCAAAAACGTCAAAACACCTCCGAAAATTGAAAAAAAACAATTGAAAATTCATATTTCAAAAACGCTTCTATAGAAAAAATTATAATGGGATATGGTGGGCAGATTTTTTTTTTCGATTTTGTAAACTAGTGTAATCGTAAAAATTGTGAAAATTATAATAATTATTATAAAAAATTATACAGGGTGTCCCTGAAAAGAAGTGACTATTTAAAGTTTAACTTCTGCAAATATCGCAACCTAATTAATTTTTTTTAAATAATTTAATTTTTCCGGTCTGAAAAAAAACCCCAGAACTAAATTTTGTGCAAAACGTTTGTTTTTTTTAGGTTATTTAATGAAATCGAAAACGAACTTTCAACTTTGACACCCTGTATTTTGGTTATTATCAACTTTTGTATGAAAGTAGAAATAAGTGGTATCATTTTGTACAGGTATTTCAGGGACATCTTGTTTAAAAATAAAAAAATGTTTTTGTAGCAGGCTCAAAATATAAACTATTTTTGTTGCTTATTTTAAATCTAACATTCAGTTTTAAATAAAATTTGTATTTCCTGTTAACATTTTCAAAAATATAAATCAATAAAATTTGCCATGTGGTACTTAAATCACCTAAATAAACAGTGGTATAAAAATCAATCAAAATACTAAAATTGAATTCTAAATTAATTTATTCGCTTGTTTAAACATAAATCTACATCTTTTGATGAAGAACATTTTCGTTTACGTTAGGTAACCTATAAATTAAATTAAAGAGAATTTTAAACCGTCTGATTTAAAAAAATTTGTAGAATTATTTACCTAATTAAGAAATATTTATTTGACCTTCATTCCCACGTTCCATTGTATTTATTAGATAAATATATAAATGTCGTTTTATTTATTTTATGTTAAATTATTCAACCTTCTTAAGTGTTTAATTAGGCTTTAATTTATCAAACTTTTACTTGATTAGTAAATTTTATACCAAAAACAAGTAAATTAATAATATGAAAAGTAAAATTTACATAGAAATATAGACAGAACAATTTCTATTAATAGATTTTAAAATGTATAAAAAATTTTCAAAGGTTATTTATATGTTACATGCAATGATTTTTAAATATTAATAATTATTCATAAATAAATGCATTATGTAGACATAAGCTTTAAAAATATAAATTGTCCCTGTGCAAGGACAATAGTATTGACTTGATCCTGTTGTATTTAAAAGACCACCTATAGGTTAGGTTTTAAAAAAAAGTTAATAGTTAATATTAATAAATACAGACAATGGGTCATTAGTTCATAAAACGGTGACCTTCCTTTTTTAATCCATACTTATTTATAGGTGTGTTCTTACAATATACTTTTATAGTTATAAATAAATTATTTAATTAAAAGGTAGCAATACCAACAAAGATTGACATTATAATTCAAGCAATTATAAAAATAATAAAAATTGTGGTAATTCTTCGTATTGTCATACTTAATCAAA